TAGCATGGGGCCTGCTGACAACTCCAATGTTAACTGTCCCACTTGAAACATTTCCTCAACATACATTCCTCACAGAGAGTCATATTTAAGGTGCTGTGGGCCTTTATCTTTCCTAAGTGTCTTCCTCATAGGTGTCTGTCAGATGTATGGGGAAGTTTTCATTTGCTTCCCATCCCACTGGTTAAAATCTGCCATTATTTCAAGATTCTCCTAGTTCACATTCTCTGTGACAGTCATCCATACTCTCTGGTATCTGCCTATGCAGCTGATGCTGCTCAGGAGCACTGCCACCTTTGTGGCCAGTCTGGTCATCACCTCAGCCGTCAGCGTCTACCTGTCTGCCAGTTACAGAGATGATCACAGTGGACCTCTGCTCCATTCTACTAGACTGATGTAAAATCTCTGCCAGAGAAAATTAGAGGTGTTCCCTGGGGAACTCAGATTTCATGGAAACAAGTAGATACTTCTTTTTTGTGTTGCTGAAGAAAGCTTAAAAAGATGCATCACCCTGTTTCCCTTATACCTTCCTGAAGTTGAAGTAGTTTTTTCCTCTACATCAGTCAAGTCACAGGTCTTGGATCTGTAATAATTACAGTATTTACAAAAGCTACGGTCGGAATTCTGTCTATTGTAGCTCAGTATTTCATACCTTGATGAGATCTGTAGGGAATAAGAACATTGTCCTCGTCGGCATGAGTGTCTGGATGTTCCAGATAGCCTGACAGGATTTTGGATCTCAGGCCAAGAACATGTGGGCCGTGAGGACTGTGGTGCTAGGTCTAGCATCACTTTTCCAGGCGTCTGTGCCTTCATCTCTTGGAATACAGAGTCTGATCAGCTAGAAGTTGCCCAGAAAGTCACGAGAGTAAGAAGACTATGCAAAGGCTGGGGTCAGCACTGCTAAACTAACCACATGAGAATGAGAATGGAACTTTAACAAAGCTACCTGGTGGGGAGCTACTACTATCCCAGACCTATCATTTTGATTAGAGGCATGTACATTTCTAAGGCGTTCCAGTGGCGCAGTCCATAGGGAGTTGAACTGCTAATCCAAAGGCCACATCTCTCTGGCAGTTGGAATTCAGCAGTGAGTGACTCTGAGGGACAAAGACGGGCAGTCTTCTTCTGTGAGATTTACAGCTCCCAAAACCCACCAGACGGTCGGCTAAAAGTTAGTTCCAACTTGAAAGCTATGAGAGATTCTTGGCTAGAATACTAAAATTCTGAGAATATGAAGAATACCAAGCAATGATTATGAAATAAAGAAAATTTTCTTATCAATCTAAATCATGCATGACTTCTAACTCATATCCCTGGTCCCCACTGTCTTGATTTAACAGAAGAAAAAACACACGAAGCATTCTGATAGCAACAAAGAGACTGGAGTGTTCCTCTGATAAATGTTTCCAATAAATGTAAAAAAAAAAATAACAATGACTAAGGATGACAGAAGAATCAATGCCTTTGAGTAGTAGGGCTGAAGAAGAGTCTTGAACATACCATGGACTGCCAAGAAAACAAGGTGAAATGAAATGTAAAAAAAAAAAAGTAAAAATAAAAACTTTTCTAAATAAGTTTTCAACAAATGTAAACGAACATTCCTAAATGTGGATGGCTATTTGTAACTGAATACCAGTGGGATTTACATGTAAATTCAGGAAATTATCACTAATTGCTCCTTTATACACTTGCTGCTAAAGGTCAAGGACTGTAGTCTTCAATATGGATTGAAGCTCAACATCAAGAAGACAAAGATTCTCACCACTGGACCAACTGGCAACACCATGATTGATGGAGAAGAGACTGAGCTTGTTAACAATTACAGCTTGCTCACACACACAAGCAACACTTTTAACACCAGCTATCAGGATATCAAAAGATGAATCACACTAGGAAAATGTGCTGTCAGGGACCTCTCCAGAGTGCTAAAAAGCAACAATATCAGTCTAAAGACTAAAGTGCACCTGATCCAGTCCATGGTCTTGACAGTTACTTGTTATGCATCAGCGAGCTGGACAATGACTAAGGATGACAGAAGAAGAATCAATGCCTTTGAATTGTGGTGCTGGAGAAGAATCTTGAACATACCATGGACTGCCAAGAAAACAAATAGGTCTGCCTTGGAGAGGGTGAAACAAAGTTTCTCCTTGGAGGCTAGGATTTTAAAGCTCAGTCTCACATACTTTGGGCACGTGGCCAGGAGGGACTGGTCCTTGGAGAAGGACATCATGCTCAGAAGGGTGGAGGGGCAGTGCAAAAGAGGGAGAACCCAGATGAGTTGGATTGATACAGTGACTGGGGAAATGGAGGTAGATGTGTCAGTGAATCAGTAAGACTGGCTCAGGACAAGGCAGGCTTCAGAGCTCTTTCAGGGTCGCTAGGGGTCATAGATGACTCAATGGCACATAACGACAACAATAATATTTCCCATGTATGAGTTTACAAATCTTTCTTCCAATATATCACACTCCTTCCATAATTGCTCTACTGTCAGCTTTTGTTTTAATTAGGGTCTTCATTCCAATCTATTTATCTCATTTTTTAATCTCATGGGAAAATGCTCAACAAATGCTTTTCTAAAATATGATGGTGTATTTAAACTGTTTCACAACATATATCCCGATTAATTTAGGAAAATAGCTTATGGACAAAACTATGTACATATTTTTTTGCATTAATAAATGACCCATTAAACCCATTAAATATTACCTCACTTTTAACAAGAGTACTCCTGCATATTTGTAAGTTTTAATTTTTTAAAAATGAAGTACTGTACAAAGCGCACATAAATGTAATGAAATTGACAAAAATACATACAGAAACAACTTTTACAAAGGATATGTACTGACTGAACAAATTTTTTAAAAAACATATTTTGAAATCTATGTCACAATGAACAGAGATAATGTATCTTTTTACTATGCTGCTGAATTTTTAAGTTAAGCTTCCTAATGGATAATAAATTTGGAATGGATACTTTAAAAAGAACTGGTTTGAGAGTTTTATAAAAAGAGGCCATTACTTCTTTTTGAGGCAATGAAAATTTTCTAAAATTGATTGTGATGATGGATGCACCACTCTGTGAATCTACTAAAAGCTACTGAAGTGTACACTTTACATGAGTGAATTACATGGCATGTGAATTATCTTTCAATAAAGAGGTTTTTTTAAAAAAACCAACCAGCCCATGTGTGGGCCACAGTTTAATGCTATCCTGACCTACTCCTTGGAGGTGAAAGACTAATAAATTAAACCAAGACAACAAACGCTGGCATGAGTTACTTAACATCAATCCAGGAAAACCTCAAACTACAGTTACATTCATAGTCCTAATAAGGTTTTTGGTGATGGCGTGTTTTTTTAAAAAGGGAAAGCAGCTCTCCCCTTTCATTTCCATTTTGCTCTTCCTGTCATTAAGTGCTGTCAAGGTGGAAATGACTCATAGCTGAGCCTCTGGAGAAGAGATTACCCATCTTTCTCCCACAGAGCAGCTGAAGGATCAAATGGTTTGCCTTTGGCTTGACACAGCATCTCCTTACTACTAGGCCACCAGTTTTTGTTTGTTTTGTTTTGGTTGGTTGGATGGTTGTGATTTTTTTAAATTGTGATTTTAAGGAAGGTTTACAGGAAGGCTGGGTTTTCATTCATTCATTGTTGCTCTTCTCCTCCCTCTCGCTCCCTTTACCCTCCCTCAGTCCACTTCTTATTCCAGATTGCTGCCAATCATTTTTTTTAAAGTGAGGTATAGTCCATAGAGAGCTGTGCTGCTGGCCCAAAGACTGCCTCTCTGGCAGCTGGAATCCTCTAGCTGCTCCGAGAAAGAGAGAGAGAGCAAGAGCAAGCTGTGCCAGTGTGATCCTGCTAGGTTTACAACTTCCAACACCAAAGGAGGGTACCTGTAAGTTGGAAGTGACTCAGTGACAATGAAGTTTTACTTTTAAAGGCACAAGACCCTCCTAAGGTATTTATTTTTTTGGTTGCCTGAATGTCTTCTTGGGTGAAATGCTTGCTCACATACTTTAACCATTTTTAAGAGAACTACTGTAAGATTTCCCCCCACTTTATTTTTCTTTTATATTGGTTTGCATACAGAACTCTTATTCATTGTGTATCATTCATGTACACTGTGTTTCACACATTCACAATTTGTTTCAAATGATCACTCACATATACTGTTTTATCAAATTAATCACCATTAGTCTATGTTTACCATTTTTAAAACTCAATGGTTTATACTGTTGAGGTATTGAGGTTTTCTGTAAAATTTAGAGATTAGCTCTTTGTCAAATATCTGTACTAAAGCAAATTTTCTCTTCTGACTTTTCAGGAGTCAAGTCAGGCCTGTTTAGAGTTAAAAAAAAGTTTTAGGGAGCTCTGTGATAAGAAGCTGTGCTGCAATCCCAAAGGTGCACAGTTCGAATCCATCAAATGCTCCACTGGAGAAGGATGGGCAGTCTCCTCCTGTACTAGCCGGATCTGACTCGATGGCACACAACAACAACGACGACAAAAATAAAAGTGTCACTAAAAAATTTGTCAATGATTAATATAATTTTCAAGTCCACAAAGCAATCTGATTATACTAGTTCTAAACCTGGTTACACTACTATAAAATTACTAGAACTACAATTCCAAGCACATCACTTTAGAAGGAATTATAAAATATAACCTATCGCTGCAGCCTTCAAAAACAGCAAGTTTAAAAATAGCTACAGGACTTAAACTTGAGGGGAGAAAAAATCCAACTCTTTGCCTAACAGACATGAAATTTCATTTCCTGGTAGTGTTTTTGCTTTTTACCTTTAATTTTCTATATAACTAAGCTTCTTTCAATATTAGAGAAGAACATAGCCTTTATGTTCTAACTGTGGTAGGTATTTATCCCTCAAAGGGAAACAGCTCCAGAGGCAAACTGCAATCAAAGCATCAAGTCATCTTCAATGGCAGACAATTCTTTTAAGTCTCTAAATAACACCCTCTTGAAAATAAAATGGAAGTACCTTTCTGGCTGGAATCAAGAGCATCATCTTCAAGGTCATCATCAAAAATTTCTCGGCCATCCTCCACATAGCCAATACCATCTGCAGGAAAAAAAGTTTAATATTAGGATTGTTTCTAAAAGTGGCCAATGGTGTATTAGCCATGACTAAAAAACCACCAAACTCAATACCACAACAAACAAAAACCCTGTTATGCAGCAAATTCTGCTCAGTTATCAGACAAAAAAAAAATCCTTAACATCTCAACAGTACAGGTTCCTCAATCAAAACCAAAAGAAGAGTACTGTGCCTAACTGAGCAAGGAAAATTATTTAACCCACAGGATTCAAGTTTACCACAAAAAACAAACAAAACCCTTCAAGCAGTTTTACTCTACTAGAAGAATAAACTAGAATATAATCAAAATCGCCACAATCCCAGAAAGGTACTCTCTTCTATGATGGAAAACTGGTAAGAGATCTGATTCCAATTACAGATTTATTGTTATGTACTGCCGAGTCTGAACTGACTCATAGCTGACCCTCCATCACGTCTTCCAAGGCAGTGAATCACACAGGAGATTGTCCATGCTTTTCCTGTGATGCAGCTGGTGGATTCAAACCAAGTGCCTTGAGGTTGGCAACACAACTTCTTACCACTAGGCCACCAGAGCTCCCTATTAGAGAATTCTTCAGAAATGAATGTGACCCCAGTGAGGAGATGTAGGCTGTGCCTGCTGATGCCCCAAATTACAGAATTTTGAATTTGAGAATTCAAACTTCTTTTGTTTGAATTCTAGAATTCGGAGCACAAATAAGAGTCACAGGCACAACCTACAGCTCCTCACTGAGGTCACATTCACTTCCTATGAAATCAAACCCTTCAAGCAGGTCTGTGCACAGTGTTTTAGTGTTTAAATCACACTCCACATCTACAACCTTAGGGAATCCTCACAATTCTGTGAGTTATCCATGTATTTTTCTTATCTTCACATTGTTGTTGTTAAGCGTCATCGAGTCATAGACGACTCATAGCGACCCTACGAACCAAAGACCTGAGCACTGTTCTTAAGAGTTTCTGGAGGCAGGCTATTTCTGAAGTGGATGCCACTCCTGCTTCCAAGCTTGTTTAAATCGGGAAGCACCACCAAATACTCTCCACCATCGGTAACCATGATCACATTTGGAACGTCAGTGCCACAGTGTTCAGCTTCACTGCAACCATGAGTTACCTCTGTACAGCAATACACAGACCAGTGCTAGACCACTTTGAAGAATGCTTGTCATTCTTCACATTACAGATGAAAAACCCGAGTCTCAGAGATTAAGTGACCCGTGCAAGGTTAGTGAAAAAGATGGAACCTAAACTTGGGTTTCTTAATTACCAACGTTGTGAGTTGCCCCACAGTCGCTTAGCTCCTCCTGCTGCCTACACAATCATTTCCTGGAAGATTTACAATGTCTCTTAAGATATACCTGGTTCCTAAAATGCTCCCAGAGAAATTTTCCTTTGTTCCTGTTCTACGTCCTCAAATATGTTAAGGAAAATTCAAATCAAAGAGGAGGAGGGGCCCTGTGACAGTGTTGCCCCTCGGCGCACACAAAGCAATGACTCCACTGTGTGAGCATCTCTGTCCCACAACCGAGCAGGCAGTTTCTTCTTACATACCGTCATCCACAATCCAGTCATCATCCTGGCGGGCCTGAACCAGCCTTGAATACTGGTCTTCATCAACTTCTTCATAGACGCTTGTGATGTCCTCAACCTGCCATCAGACGAGTTTGAGAAAAAGCTTCAAATGGAGTGAAAGTGTTAAAACAATTCTGACGAAGAAAAAAAACTCTCAAACAGAAACTGGAATGGCAGCCTGAAGGAGTAGCTGCAACCAAATCATGAGTTCTGACATTCAACACCACTACAGGGTTTTCCTTAAATAGACATCAATTAATTTAGTATTCCATTTAGGTGGGTGTAACATAAGATATTAAATTATTCCATTAGCATAATATACTTGTCACACCATCAATTACTCATCTACTTTATAAAAAACAAACTGAATTATAGCCAATTCTTCATTAGGTGCTATGGGGATTACTCACTTTTAATTTCTTAACTGGTTTCTCACATATTTGGCAAGCTTATAAGCCCTGGCATGTCTTGGTGCACAAGTTGATCTATGTTCTGTGACTATGCAATAAAACTGTAAGTACAGTTCCATCAACCAAATTAATTGTAGCGAAAAAGCTTCCCCATGCAAAAATTAACAAAATGAACATGCTCTTTGGTAAACCAGATGTGGTATTTGAGTGACTGCTGTTTGCACTGTCACTGATCTCCCATCTTTGGACTCTTAGGGATGCAGAGATTGCAGCACTGAGCTATTTGAGGCACAAATCCAGAGAGTGGCAAGACCTTCAATCACATGGATTACCTGACCACCATGGGGCCAGAACACCATCACAAACACAATTAAAGCAGCAAAAGTGAGAGATAGACACAAACTTTGCAGTTGTTCATCAAGACTGTCTACTGGCTTCTCAGATGAGAGGGTGCAGGGCTGGTTAGCAAGACATGATAGACAGAGGTACCTCCTACTTTTCATAAGTTTGCTATATGCCACTTCCTTTTTAAATACAAGATCTACATGAATATATTTTGGCTAACCAAAAGGAATCTAAAAAGGATTTTCACTTTTACCAAAAAAGGTACAAAGCAAAACGAGCATCCTGCATTTATTTTGTAGCAAGCCTTTTATAAACACAGTGTGCATGCGAAGAAAATAGTGTCATCACCCAGCTTCTTCCCAGGGGCATCTAAGCATCAAGATGCCATATAGCACTGAATTAGGTCTGTGAACACTATACAATCGTGTTATTTTAGGGTTTATGTTTCACTTGGTACAGTCTGGTAGTTTATTTCTTTAGTCTGGGAACGCTCAAAAATTCTTCGCATATAAAGAAATGGTGGCTCTCCTCTGCTTTACACCATTTCTGCTTTATGAAAAGTTTCACAGGATCATCCCACTTTCAGATAGGAGGAGAAATCTATGCCTCATTAAAAATACCACGTTTCAGGGAGCTCTGGTGGCCTAGTGACAAGAAGCTGCACTGCAATCCTGAAGGCACCTGGTTCAAATCCACCAGGTGCTCTGCTAGAGGAAGGGCAACTTCTTCCTGTGCCAGCTGGATCTGATTCGATGGTACACAATAAGAAAATCTTTTTTTTTTATTACAAAAGTTATCACTTTTACACTGACAGTTGTGAGAGATACAAACATCAAATGTGGGGGTGTAAGGGGTGGCACGGAAGGTGTGACTAAACCCATCTGAAGTGCTTTGGTCTAAGAAACAGACTGAGATATAGAAAAATGTGGGCACAGGTCTTTGAGAGGTGAATGGCCATAGCTGACTGGATTTCTGCCACACCTACAAGGCTTGTAATAATTACAGGCTTAGGTTTAGCTTTCAATCTCCTTTTTAATCTACTCTGCAGGGATCAGTGGCAAATATTGATTCAAACCTTTTCACAATATGGTAACAGATTGCCCCCACCATCAAATTAAGTTTTTGAGAACCTAGATGCAAACTAATCCAATTAATATTCTTGTAATGATCCATTTTCTTTCCCTTATTTTTGGCAAGAGGTGAGGGACTGGCAAGATTATTTCTACTGGTTGAAGTCGGTTAGGGAGATTTATTTTTGTCTCTTAAATACTCACTCAAAAAAGATATCATAAAACTACTTTTAAATTACTTAAAAAATAATTTTGAGAAAAATTCCTTTCTGACTCAGTCTTTGAAAACTACTAAACATTCACACTGCCCAGCATAAATTAGAGAGCCATACATTTCAAATCACGATAAAGGTAAACCTATAGCACTGTGCCAACATCTGAAATGCTCTTTTACAGAAATATCTACATTAAAAAGTCCATGTGCTTTATTCGAGTTCTTGTAACAACCTTTTGCGATCCGCCTTGCTTCCCAACTTAGAAAAAATGTTCCAAATGACAAAAATCCTGTTCTTGGTGAACTGACCAATACACAGGCCACAGTGAAGAACGCAGTTGTTATAGTCAGACAACCTGGGTTCAAAAAAACGGCTCTGCCACTATAACCTTATCATGTTCTGTGTCTCAAATATCTCACTCACAATATGCTACTAATCACAGCATCTAACATCACATGATTATTGAAGGTGGTGTCCTGGTGACACTGTGGTCAAAGTGCTCAGCAGCTAACTCAAGGACTGGTACTTCAAAACCACCAGCCCCGCTCCCTCAGAGAAATGTGTTTCCATAAAGACTAGTAGTTGTTGCTGTGAGCTGTCAAGTAAACACTGACTCACAGCTGATCCCCCAAAGGGTTTTCAGAGACAGTGAATCACACGGGAGAAGTTTACCCCTCTGTCTCCCTCAGAGCTGCTGGTGGGTTCTAATCACATGCCTTTGTCGTTGAAGCACAGCTTCAACCTTGGAAATCCCAATGGGCAGTTCTACTTTGTCCTACAGAGTCACTGAAAGTCAGAAGGCTGTGGCGGTAATTATTTTCTAGCATGAGGTAATCACTTTCTAGCCAAACAGTTAAAATAATCAGGGAGGATGTTGAAGGGACAATGTATTTGCAGATGCTAGTGACTTCAATGCTCTATCTGCAAGCCACAGACAGCAAGTAGAGGGAAAAACAGAAAAAACAGCATCACATGCAACCTTACAAGCAGAATATGAGAACAAGTTAAAGTCCAACTCCCCACTGTTACTCCCTCCGTAAATGAAATTAGGAAGAACTATCTGATCCAAGAAGTAGGGCTTAGCTAAAATGCTCAAATAATTTAAAAGTAAAAAAAAAATCACCTAAGCTTTACAACAAAGCTGTAAGACTTATCAGAGGTGCAGTGTTTAATAAGGGGAAAAAATACGCACAGCTACTTTAACCTGGAATTTTAAAACTCATCCTAATGTTTACAAATAAACTATAAGGACTGAATATTCACTATCATTTGTAAATTTACTGTATTTGTCATTTGTAAGTAAACTGTAAGGCCTGACTATTCTCTCTAATTTGTAAATTTGTAAGACTACTCTTACTCAACAGTAAAACATTATTCATTACTACAAGCTTCAAATATATACATGTTTCTTATCAGTATAGGACAATTATGACAGAAGACTACCTGCAGATTCTGAAGCATAAGAGGGGGGATAAAACCCAGCAAAATGGTATCTTACCTCATATTTATACTTTTCACCAGCTTTAGCCTTTTTCAGTCTCTCTAGAGCTTCTTGGCGCCCTTTCTTTGTTTTTCTTTCTCGTCGGGATCGAGATACTACAAAACTCCCTGAATCTGGTACCTCTGAAAAAAAAGTCAGATATATGATGTTAAAAAGTCATCTTCCTTAAAGACAAGGAAAATTTCTAGCCAAGAGTAATACACAATCCTCCAAACGGTTATTGCTTACAGTTTAAATAATTCACAAAGAACACAGATAGATCCTAAGCTGTGGCCTTTCAGAAATTTTCTCTGATCTAGTTGCAGCTAAAACAACTGGGTTTTTTTCTTCAACAAGAAAAGTGGGGAAAAGACAGAAATGCCAAATTCAATGGATATAGCTAAATGAAAAACTAGAAAGGGGAAATCAGCTGTTACTTGATTACCTATTAGAAACAACAGGTCACAAGTAATCTAGAGAGTTCTAAGGATACATCATTTTATACTCTAGTCTCATCATTCAAAAGCTTTAAAGGAACATTTCCTATTTGCAAAGTGCTAGGTGCTGTAAGAGACACAAATGATAAAGAAGATTTCATTCCTGTATTCAGAGAACTTACAATCTAATGATACAAGTAGCAAAAGACTTCAAATATATGCCCAAAAAAAGGTATATACACAGTACTTGGAATTTCAAGAGAGGGATACATTATGGACTGGGAATATTTAACAAAGATGGCTTTGAAGAGATTCTGGACTATCTATCCTAAAATGGATCTGAGAACTTTGATAAAAGCTCCAATCCCACTGGAATACATATAACATTCAATTCTGTGACTAAATGTTTGACTGAAATAGAAGTTACAATTTAAAGAATATATACCAAATGCTGGCAATAAATTGTGGAAACTATCTTTAAGGTGAAGCACAATTAGAAAGCTTATTTTTTCCCCCTCCAGCTTTCTGGAAATGGAATCTTTCTTTACAATATTTCAGTCTATTCTTTGTCACATTTCACTTTTAAATCCACTTTCAAAAAAAGCATTAAGTAAAAATGAAGGGATGGTAGGTACTTCTTGATGACAGCCACAAAATTTTGGGTATCATGCAAATTATTTCCAAAAATCATGAGCAAGCCTCCATTGAAAAACATTCACAGATTACAAATCATGACAAAAGCTGACCTCAGCATATACTCAAGAATCCTTCTACTCCTTAAGTGGAGTATCCTCATAGAATCTGTAGGTCTGCATATAGTCTGATTTCACAAGCAACAATGTCCCACTAACACAAGGGTTGCAATACAATGACAAAGAGAAGGCTTGCCTGTACACAAGTAACTCATAGCCAAGTAAAGCAAAAAGATCTGATGAACGGCCTGGTACCTTGTAAAAAGGAGCATCGAGAAGAGAGCAGAGAAATCAGGGAATGTTTCACAGGGAGAGTTTCCAGCAGGGGTGAAAGAGGAGTAGAATGTCATCAGGAAAGAACAGGGTTAAAAAGTGGCATAAGCAGAGGAGAAGGTATGAGACAAACGAAAAAGGATGAAAATGCAACACATAAACTAAAAGAAAGTCAGCATGGAAGACAAGTTCAACAAGAAATAAAGTGAATAGGAGAACTGGGTGAAACAGCACATTCTAGTGCTGTCACTTATTTAAGGCTTTGGACCACCAGTTAAGACCACAGAGTTGTCTTACTGGGTTTTTTCAAGCTATCCAGCATGTGAATCCATTTGGGAAATTCTCCCCTTAACATTGCCGGAAAAAAAAAAAATCAGGGCTGACGAAAGGCAAAGGCCACATAATACTACAAAGCCAGGGAAAATGGCATAGCAGAGGTAAGTGGGTAAAGTGGAGGGAGGGAGGGAGTATTAGGAAAGGTTCAATGGGGGCTTGGCAAGATGGGGTAATAATAGGCATAGAGCAAGGTTAATATAAATATATAAAATATAATGTATAATGTATATGTACGACTGAATAAAACACAAAGTATAAAACAACATATGTGAATGATTATATTCAAACCAATAAAAATTTTTTAACAAATATTATCATCAAGAAAATTAAAAAGTTGAGGGGGAAAGTCAGGTCAGATGTTCCCCCTAGACTCTCTTGCACAGGCATACAAAACAGGCGCTGTTGAGTTCCTATGTGCCACAGAGACGAAATCAACTCGCAGGTGACCCTCAATCAACTCACAGGTGACCCTCTAGCAGGTTTTCAGAAGCTATATATATCACACGGGAGGAGATTTTCATCTTTCTCCAGCAGAGAAGCTGGTGGACTCAAACCACATGCCTTTGAGTTAGCAGCACAACCCCTTATCCACCAGAGCTCCCTAAAACAAGCCATAGCAATTAGGAAGACCTACTCAGACCTTAGAGATTAGTATGCCAAAGGTCTATACAAGGAAGCCCACTGAGTCAATCTGCCTCCATCCACCCTTGTCCTTGGACCCCAGGGCCTTAAGCAAGGTCACCAGCACTAAGTAAGCACACTGAAATGAGCTGCAAAAAAAAGGTCCCAGAAGTTGATGAGATACCAATTGAAGTGCTTCAACAAACAGATATAATGCTAGATATGCTCACAAATCTATGACAAGAAATTTGGAAGACAGTTACTTGATCAACTAACTGGAAGAGATATGTATTTGTTCCCATTCAAAAAAAAAAGTAATCCAACAGAACGTGGAAAATTATTGAACACTATCATTAAAATCAAATTCAAGTAAAATCTTGCTGAAGATCATCAAAAAAAAAGGCTAAGATAGTACACGGACAGAGAACTGCTTGAAACTCAAGCTGGGTTTAGAAGAGGTCATGGCACCAGGGATATCATTGTTGATGCCAAGTGGATCTTGGCTGAAAGCAGAAAATACCAGAAGGATGCCTATTTGTGCTTTACTGACTATACAAAGACATCTAAATTATGGCTAACATTAAGAAGAATGGAAATCCCAGAACTGTGTTCATGATAAACCTGTACCTAGATCAAGAAATAGAGCAAGGTAACAATGTGCAGTTTAAAATTAAGAAAGGTGTGCAACCAGACTATTTCCTTCCTCCACATCTATCCAGTCTGTATGCTAAATCAATCATTCAAAAGTCTGGAAGAAGAGGGCAGCATCAGGAAGATTCATAAACCTGCATTATGCAGATGACATAGTCTAGGCTGCCAAAAGCAAAGAGGGACTTGAAATACTTCCTGCAGATCAAAGACTACATACAGTCTTCAATATAGATTACATCCCAAAATCAAGACACCAAAAATCCTCACCACTGGGACAGAAGGTAACATCTTTACAGACGGAGAGAAGACTGAAGATGTCAACGATTTCATCTTGGATACACAATCCTTGGCACCAACAGTCAAGAAATAAAAAGGGGAGGGGTTAATCACAGGGTCACACAATTTGATGGGTGGAGGGAGAGGGATGGTAAAGGAAATGGAAAAGACCCAGTGTGAAAAACAATGTATATGAACGTTTCAAGTAAACCAGCTTAAAATAAAATTTTATTTAAATAATAAAGAAATCAAAAGATGTACTGCATTGTGTAAATCTGCTATCAAGGACCTCTCTAAAATGTTAAGGAACAATTATGTCAATTTAAAGATTGCATCTTACTCAAGCCAGTCTTTTCAATTAATTAGTTCATATGCACCTGAAAACTGGGCAGGATGACAGAAGAATCTATGCCTGAGTTGTGGTGTTGGATAAGAGTGCTGAATATCCCACGGCCTCCCCAAGAGAACAAGTACTATAGTTAATAGCCTCAATGTCCTCATCCATCTGTGAGATGGTGATAATAGTGCCTGCTTCATAAAACTGGTAATGGTTAAATGAAGATGTTGGCCTTACTTGGTATTTAACAATATAGGAGAAGTTCATTCCACTTGTTTGTATAGATAAACCACATGCATTACCTTGGCCTCACTTTTAGAAAGTAAAGTTGAACAATGTCATTTTCTCAGGGATGCCTCAACATAGCACTGCAAATAATTACCATTGCAACTTCAGGGGGGCAGAAATAATGCTCAGTCTATCCACCAAACCACACCACCACCAAAGCCTGGCAGTAAATCTATTACCTAGCAGGCACAATGCAGTTTTGGTGGCTTAGTTATTTAAGCTGGCATAGTTGTTTAAGCAGTTATACTGCCAATCCAAAAGCCCTCGGTTCAAATCCACCATGTGTTCTGCAGGATAAAGATGGGGAATCCTCTCCCGTGCAATTTACAGCCTCTGCAAACCTGATAGAGGGTCAGCTATGAAACATTTCAACTTGACAGTACAAAACAACAACAGACACACAATAAATATTTGCTTAATGAAGACATTAATGAAACATTTACCTGTTTGTTTTATTTGCTTAATTTTTTTAAATCATGAAGCTCTCCTTGAGTCTCTCTCATATGTAATAATGGTAGCTACTTACAGATCTTTCTCACCTTTTCATTCAAGGAAAAATATTAAGACCCAGATTTTCCCTTTTTGGGGGGAAAAAAGTTACCTATTTGGTTCAAAAATTACCATCTGGAGCACTCCATCCTCCCCAGAAGCAGACAAGTCATTAACCTACAGTCTTTCAACCAACACTCTTTCAATCTGCTCTAAACGAAAGATTCCTGTCACATGCACAGCAACTACTTAAATCAACTATTCCTTGAGGTGTGCGGGGATGTCTCCAGATTGCACAGTATCCTCCAGAGAGTGATTTCCTGATGTTCATGGAGGACTTACAGTTTTTAGGTTGAGGAAAGGGCTTAGTTTAGTGGCAAATCACTCATAGAAGACTGCAAAGACTGTTCAAACTCACATTATACATCCCATTTGTAATCCTGGCTACTAGACTCTCTTAAGTAAATTGTCTTAAAAAAATTGATGGCAAGAACAAATTGAAATCATTGATTCACAACCAGGTGGATGCAAAGGAAGCTGATTAGGAAGCAGATTCTCATTAATGGCAATGTATGTGAATGACAGGAGATAAAATGCTTGAGCTACGACAGCGAAGAATCTGATTTTAACTTAGAAGTTCAGTAAAGTTAAGTCACACTTTAGTTGAACACTATTCAAAAATCAGAAATCAAAGCCATTTGCATTTTCGTGTTCTATTTTTGGAAGAGAAGATTACTACCGACAAACTCAGTGAGATACAGGGCATCCAAAATGCCGCTGAGCTGATGATTTTTTAAAGCGACTTCACCAAAAATTACTAGATTGTGAACATTATTTCTATGCAGCACTTGAAGAACTTTCCGTGGAAGAATTTGAAAGAAAAACTGTTAATGCATAAAGTTGAAACCCATTACTTAAAAAGACGAAATGCATTTCTATCTGGTGACAGCACTTAGGGCTTTCTTTCCATAGCTACAATGTCTAGCAATTTCCCTGGGAGTTCCTGGAAAGGGAGGCGCACGTCTGTTCTGTCCTAGCCTTCAAGTGGATACTTGGGGATGGAGTAACGTAGCACAGACCAAATACTGCCCAGCACGTGGTGCGCCACTCATCAAGGGGGAAAAAAGGACAGGTGCTTTGACCCGAAGTGAGAGACGAGAAGGCTTCCCAAACAAAAAAGCCCTACAAAGGTTTGTTTGGGTAAGCTAATAGCCCAATCCAAAACCAGAAGCGACCCCGCCCCAGACGACCCGCAGGACAAACATGGACACGCGCAAAGCTTAGAAAAATAAAGACCTGCAAAACTCCCACCACCCCCAATCATGTAACGGTACTTGCACTCCCAACCGAGTATCTCGCGCACAGAATTGTCCCTCACCGCTTGCCCCCGGCTCACAGTCGTCACCGTGCACCGGCGCCATGGTCTCCAAATCTCCCGATTCCGCGCCAACCGAATCTGGCGCGGGGGCCGAGACAGGCGCGAGCCCGAAAGCCAATCAGCAGCTCCTGAGGCTACGGACTTCCGCCCGGAAGGGCCACTTACGTGCCGCGCCGCGCTGCGCCCCGCCCCCGGCCTTCCCGCGGGCGCTCGCTTGGCGCCCTGTGATGACCCCTTCGGAAAAGCTAGTGATGAGAAGAGGCCAGAGGAAAGCTAGAGAAAGAAGCGGTCGGGCGCTGGAAAGGAACCTCCAGAAGACTAGCTGCGCAGGCGCACGCATGCTGATGGGAAAATATTTGGGCGCGTAGAAGTACGGGCTCTCTGGTTCTGAGAGCTGATTTCCTGGGAAAAAAGGTGCGGGCGGGCAGAGGGTGGGCGTGGTTGGACCATTTTTTCCCCGGAGCCTGGGAAAGGCACTGCCTCCTGCTGCGCACTCTGAGTTTTGCTTGCTATTTTGCTTCCTTGAATGTTAACAAAGTCGCTATGTGATTTCATTTTTAGAAGTAAACTACCACTTAACCAAATGACACCAGCCTAACCAGAGGACCAAAAGTTATCTTTTAAATTTTTGTTAAAAAAGCATCACAATTATAGGGACAATCTGACCTCCTGATAGGATACACTGGAACATCACCAATGTTAAAAAAAAAGTTTTAACCTGAATCTAACCTTGAGTAATAAACGTGTAGGGAAATTTCCAATATATCTGGCCTGAAGTCTTGCAAAATGTCACTTCTTTTTGTTAAAAAAAATAACATTTTAATAAACGTTTAAAAGAAGTTAAATGTTCATTCATTGTTGCACATTTTACTCCCTCTCCCTCCCGTCCCCTTTTCCAAGTTTACTTTTTTCTTTAATATCCATTCATTGTTGCACAATTACATATCTCCCCCCCCCCGGTCCTTTTTGCAATGTACCTCTTATTCTTGGCTGTTGTCATATGTATAATACCTAATCATATATTCCTTTTAAACAGTTCTTTCCTTCAGCTGTTCCAGTTCATCCATGAAACAGTGAAGAAGAAAAGCGTTTGTAGAAGTCCAACCGCTGAAGAATTGCTCAAACTGTCAAAAATATAGCATTCTGCTTATCTTTGTAAATAAGTTTAACTACCTGAAGAAAAAAAAAAAGGCACATGCCAGTCATATCTGTTGTTGTTATGTGCCATCGAGTCACTTGTGACTCATAGCGACCCGATG